GCATCTTTATGTGGGCAAGTGTGCCTAAGAATCAGTACAGCAGGGTTCCTCCCCCAGAAGACCAGCACAAACCCCTCACATGCACTAAATCTACTGTTCATAGAGTGCTGCAAAGCTTCAGCTCTAGGGGAAATAGGATCCAGCATCTTTTAACAAGCCGACCAAAACACACCTAGTTAAATCTTGCCACACAGAAGATCCAAACACTCCCTACTGCAGGAGAAACTCTGCAGAGGACAACCCTGAGAGAAAGAGCAGCCAAAACACGACAGCAGAGTGCACATTCTGAAACACCTCCTGAAGCACCAGGCCTAAGACAGTATAGGACTTCCTTTTAATATAGTCATTACTCTCAGCAGTGGGAATATAACAGGCCTTTCTAACACACACACACACACACACACACACACACACACATACACACACACATACACACACAACACCTTAGCAAAATGACAAGACAGATGAATTCATGACAAAAGAAAGAACAGAAAGAGACCATAGCCAGGAATCTAATCAAAACAGATACAAGTAATATGCCTGAATCAGAATTTAAAATAATAATCATAAAGATATTGCGGGCTTAAGAAAAGTAGAGAAGACACCAGAGAATCCCTCACTGTGAAGATACAGGAACTAAAACCCAATCAGGCCAAAAAAAAAAAAAAAAAAAAAAAAAAAAAAACTATAACCAAGATGCAAAACTGACTGCATTCTATGACAACAGGATGGAGGAAGCAGAGGAGTGAATCAGTGTATAGAAGAGAAAAGAGAAGGGATCCAAATACCTGAAATCACAAATGAAAGAGGAGGAGATATCACAACCAACACCACAGAAATATAAATAATTATCAGAGAATATTATGAGCAATTATTTACCAACATTTTTGGCAACCTGGAAGAAATGGATAAATTCTTAGAAACATATATTCTACCAAAACTGAAACAGTAGGAAATAGAATATTTGAACAGACCCACAATCAACAAAGAAATTGAATCAGTAATCAAAAATCTCCCAACGAACAAAATTCCCAGGCCAGGTGTCTTCTCAGAGGAATTCTACAAGACATTTAAAGATGACTTTTCTTCTCAAACTGTCCTAAGAAATAGGAAGAGGAAGGAAAACTTCCAAACTCATTCTTCAAGGCCAGTATTACCCTGATTCCAAAACCAGACAAAAACTCCTCTAAAAAGGAGAATTACAGGCCAATATCCCCGATGAACATCATGCAAAAATTCTCAACAAGCTACTAGCAAATCAAAAGCAACAGTACATTAAAAGTATTATTCACCACGATCAAGTGGGATTTATTCCTGGTCTGAAAGAGTGATTCAATATTCACAAATCAATCAATGCAATAAACCACATTAATAAAAGAAAGGGTAAGAATCATATGATCTTCAGGGTGTCTGGATGGCTCAGTTGGTTAAGCATCTGCTTTCAGCTCAGGTCATGATCTCAGGGTCCTGGGAGAGAGCCATGTGTCTGGCTCCCTGCTTGGCAGGGAGTTAGCTTCTTCCTTTCCCTTCATGCTTTCTCTCTCAAATAAATAAATAAAATCTTTTTTAAAAAAATGATTCCCACAATAGATGCAGAAAAAACACTTCAGAAAATACAGCATTCATTCTTGATAAAAACCTTCATCAGAGTAGGGACAGAAGGAACATACCTCAACATTATAAAGGCCATATATGAAAGACCCACAGCTAATATTGTCCTCAATGGGGAAAACTGAGAGCTTCTCCCTTAAGGTCAGGAACAAAACAGGGATGTCCACTCTCCCCGTTGTTATTTAACGTAGTCCTGGAAGTCTTAGCCTCAGCAATCAGACAACAAAGAGAGATACAAGGCATCCAAATAAGCAAGGAAGAAATCAAACTGTCACTATTTGCACATGACATGATGCTCTCTGCAGAAAACTTGAAAGACTCCATCAAAAACTTGCTAGATGTGATACATGTATTTAGCCAAGTCTCAGGATATAAAATCAATGTTCAGAAATCTGTTGCATTTATATAAACCAATAATCAAGCAGCAGAAAGACAAATGAAGGAATGGATCCTATTTACAATTGCACCAAAAATCATAAGATACCTAGGAATAAACCTAATCAAAGAGGTTAAAGATCTGTACGCTGAAAACTATAGAACACTCATGAAAGAACAAATATTGCTAAAATGTCTATACTACGCAAAACAATCTACACATTTAATGCAATCCTTATCAAAATAGCATTTTTCAGCAGAGCTAGAACAAACAATCCTAGCATTTGTTTGGACCACAAAAGATCCCGAATAACAAAGGAACCTCAAAAAGGAAAGTAAAGCTGGATGCATGACAATTCCAGACTTGAAGCTGTGTTACAAAGCTGTAGTCATCAAGATAGTATGGTACTGACTGTGAAGCAGACACATAGATCAATGAGACCGAATAGAAAATCCAGAAATGGACCCACAACTATATGATCAACTAATCTTTGACAAAGCAGGGAAGAATATCTGATGGAAAAATGACAGTCTCTTCAACAAATGTTGCTGGGAAAAGAATGAGTGAAGCTGGACATTTCTTACACCGTACACAAAAATAAGCTCAAAATGGATGGAAGATCTAAATGTGGGACAGGAAACCCTCAGAATCCTAGAGAACACAGGGACCAACCTCCTTGACCTACGCAGTAGCAACTTCTTAGTATAGACGTCTCCAGAGGCAAGAGAAACAAAAGTAAAAATGAATTATTGAAACTAACAAGATAAGAAGCTTCTGCAAAGGAAACAGTCAACAAAACTAAAAGGCAGCCTATGGAATGGGAGAAGATATTTGAAAATGACGTATCTGACAAAGAGTTACTGTCAAAATTACATGAAGAACTTACTAAACTCAATACCCAAAAAACAAATAATCCAGTTAAGTAATGGGCAGAAGACATGAATAGACCCCCCCCCCCCAAAAAAAAAGACACCCAGGTGGCTAACAGACACATGAAAAGATGCTCAATGATCAACATCACTCATCATCAGGGAAATACAAATCAAAATGATGCGGTACCACCTCACCCAGTCATAATGGCTAAAATTAACAACTCAGGAAACAACAAACATTGATGAGGAGGTGGAGAAAGGGAAACCCTCGTTCACTGTTGATGGGAATTTAAACTTGTGCGGCCACTCTGGAAAACAGTATGGAGGATCCTCAAAAAGTGAAAATAGTAATACCAAAATAATAATAATAATACCGTATGATCTGGCAATTGCACTCCTGGGTATTTACTCAAAAGATACAAAAACAGTGATTTGAAGGGGTACATGTACTCCAATGTTTATACCAGAAATGTTCACAATAGCCAAATTTTGGAAAGAGCCCAAATGTTCACATGTTCATCAACTAACGAATAGGTAAAGATGTGTCATATATGTATATGTGATATACACATATATGATATTATCTAAAAGAATGAAACTTGCCATTTCAAATAACATGGATGAAGCTAGAGTATATTATGCCAAGTGAACTGAGTCAGTCAGAGAAAGACAAATACCACATGATTTCACTCATATGTGGACTTTAAGAAACCTAACAGGTAGGGAGGGAAAAAAAGGAGTGAGGGAAAGCAGACTCTTTAAAAAAAAAAAAAATTAATTAATTAATTAATGAGAGAGAGAGAGAGAGCACGATTGGGGTGAGGACAAAGAGAGAAGCAGACTCCTTGCCTGGGGTGGGGGCAGTGGCTTGATTCCAGTATTAGGAGATCATGACCTGAGCCAAGGTTGATGCCTAACTAAGCCACCCAGGTGCCCCCCACCCCCCAAACTAACTCTTAACTACAGAGAACAAATGAGGGCTGCTGAAGGGCAGTGGGGTGGGGGATGGGTTAAATGAGTGATGGGTATGGAGCAGGGCACAGGTTGTGATGAGCACTGGGCGTTGTATGTAAGTGAGGAATCACCAAATCTTACACCTAAAATTAACATTACTTTGTATGTTAACTAACTGCAAGTTATATAAAAAACTTGGAAGAAAAAAAAATAATAAATCCCTGGGACGGTTAGCTCACTCAAGAACAGAAGAGAGGATATTTGGTCTAGGTTCTAATTCAGGAGGACACTGTATTTGGGTGGTACAGTGGTGGAGGATCCAACAAAGGAAAGGGGGAGCCAACGACGAAGGAAGGAAACCGGAAAGAATGCAGACACAGCAGCACTGGGGTTTGGGACCGAGGAGGGCAGAGGGGAAGATCCCGCAGGGTCAGATGCTCTGAAGGCGGAGAAGCGCCGTTCCAGCGGCTTGATGGAGAGGAAATCTCCGCGGGAGGCATCCCAAGAGGAACTGGGAAGTGACTATGAGTCCGCAGCGAATCCAGGCAACTTTTCAGAGGGCTCTCGATGCCTCAGAGGGAGTGGGCCATGGCCAGATGTGCCTTTGAGGCCTAGACAGGGGTCTAGGTGGATAGGGCGGCTGATGCTGCAGGTGTTCGCATGTAGGTGGCAACGGAGAGGGAGACACTGCAGGTGAAGCGCACAGGGCAGGGACAGGCTCGCTACGTTTCCGCACCAGGCGGAGGCGCACCAGGCGGAGGCACCCCCGGCGGACGCCAGGCCTGCAGCACAACGAAGCTCCGTGGCGCTCGGGCGATTCCTACGGGAACTACAGCTCCCGGCAGGCGGTGCGCTCGCCGGCCATTGCGCAGGCGCCGCCAGTCCCCTCCCAGTCTCCCTCCCAGCCGCCCCGGCCCCAGTTCCGCGTTGGAGCCGCAGACGCCTAGGGGGCGGCTTCCTCTTAAAGGAGAAACGGCGGCGGAGCGCGCGAGGTGGGCCCTCAACCTCCCGCCAGTCTCCGCGCCTGCGCGGAGGAGGGGGAGGCGCAGGCGCAGTCGGGCCGAGGGCGGGTGGGGGCGCGCAGGTAAGACCCGGCGGGGGAGGACCGCGGCGGGCACTCCGGGGGCCCGGCCTGCGCTTAGTGGGCGTTAAGTGGGGCGGCCCGACGCGGGGTGGGAGCGCCCCCGGCCCCGGCCACATTCACTCCGCCATGAAGAGCGCCCCCCAGACACCCCCCCCGCCCCCCCAGCAGTCCGGGCTGGAGGGGCCTGTGCCGTCTTCAAGGTGAAACTGTCACCTCCCCGTCGCCCGGCCCCCGTTGAAACTTGGCCGGAGCCTGGCGCCTCCCCAGGGCGCGGGGCCGGGCCGCTGGCTCCCCTCCTCCCCCGCACAGCGCTGCTCTACGCGCCCAGTAACGTTAGCCGGGCGGTGCGGCCCCGGCGGCGGCTGCGGGGAGGACCTGGGCTGGCCGATCTCGACCGCCGGGGGCCCTGAGGGCGCCCCGGGTCAGGCCGCCCGTGCGCGTGTCTCCTCCACCCGTAGGTCCTGGTGCCCATGGCTTCCTCCCCGGTGGACGCATCGCGCAGGCGGCAGGAGAGGCGGCGGCAGCTGGACGCGCGCCGCAGCAAGTGCCGCATTCGCCTGGGCGGCCACATGGAGCAGTGGTGCCTCCTCAAGGAGCGGCTGGGCTTCTCCCTGCACTCGCAGCTCGCTAAGTTCCTGTTGGACCGGTTAGGAGCCGGGCCGGGCCGGGCCGGGCCGGGGCTGCGGGGGAGGGCGCCCGGGGTGCGACGCCCAGTCCCCTACGTGGTGGGTGCCGGCCGCCAGCTCGTCACCGCCCGCAGATTTCTCATTTCAGCAGAACAGCCTGTGTGACTTGGGGCCTCTCTGGGTCCTGTCCCCCCGCTGTTGGTTTCCAGCGAATAGGGGCCCTAGGGTCTGGTCCCTTCAAAGTGTGGGAGTGCAGAGAGCTGAGGCCAGCTGGCCCGGATCCCTCCCTAAACCGCCTCTCTTCCCCCTCCCCCTGGCAGGTACACTTCTTCACGCTGTGTGCTCTGTGCAGGTGGGTAGGGAGTAGCTAGAGGTCCGGGGCCAGGAGCCAGGGAGGGCGGAGGGGCAACAGGGAACCCCCTCCGGAGGGGACTGGATCAGAGGGGACCCTGAGCGGGTTGGGGAAAGGTGGGGAGTTGGGGAGCCCAAGGTAGTTTGATGGGAGCAGGCTGTGGAAGAGAGCAAAATGTCTAGGGACCTTGGGGGGTTCTGGCCTCTGAAGGATGATAAACTGAGGTAGGGAACGGCTTTGCCCAGGGAGGGTGTGGTCCCAGCGTGAGAGTAGGAGGCTTGCCAGCTCGCCCTGACTGTTGCCTTCACCACCTCAGGTCCTGAGCCTTTGCCCCCCAAGGGTCTGCAGTATCTGGTGCTCCTGTCGCATGCCCACAGCCGGGAATGCAGCCTGGTGCCTGGGCTCCGGGGCCCCGGGGGCCAAGATGGGGGGCTTGTGTGGGAGTGCTCTGCAGGCCACACCTTCTCCTGGGGCCCGTCTTCAGGCCTCACGTCTCCAGAGGAGCCTAAGCCACCTTCCTGTCCAAATACTGCCAGGAGAAGCTGGTGCCCAGAGGCCAGGAGTGGGCAGGAGCCTGCAGGTAGGCAGGGGCAGGAAGGGCTGTGAAGAAAACGGAGGGAAAAGGGTTCCCGTCTCTGTAGCTTAGAACTCCCTTTGTTAAAAATCATCCTTTCTTAATGGAAAAACAAGGAAATATATCCTCAAATATATTTTTAGGTATAAAAAGCAAAATACAGAATGAGACGTATGTTGTGTTACCATTGGTGGAAAAACCAGGGGAGGAAGAATATATGTACTTACGAATGTATCAAATATGTCTGGAAGGGCATGAGGGAAACCTGGTTCTCTGTGGGAAGAACTAGGTGAAGAGGGGTAGTATTGGTAAGGAGACTTCCAAGCGTACCTTTTTATACTTTTACCTTTTGAACCATGTGATTGTATCATCTCCTGAGTAAAGCACCCCTTCCTGCTGTACCCTCCTCCATCCCAGGAGACCTTAAAAGTACACCTGTCCTCATCCCTCCAGCCCAGAGATCCTTCCCCTTTGACCCTACCTGTACCAACAGGTTTGGCATCTGAGCACAATGAGAGGACTCAGGAGGCCAGGTTGCCCAGGTGAGGTTTGGGGGGAAGGGAAAGGAGAGACTTGGGTGAACAGTGCAGGCGAGGGAGTGGGAGCCTGAGGCTTGCCTTCCTTGGTCCAGCAGGGAAGTAGGACCCGTACTGGAGACCTTCCCAACCCCAGGAGAAGAGGGGGAGGAGGAAGATGAGGATGAAGAGGAAATGCTCAGTGATGCCAGCCCATGGACCTACAGCTCCTCCCCAGATGAGCAAGTTGGGGTTGTGGGAGGATGTTGAAGTGAGCAGGAGGGAGGGAGTAGCTGGCCAGGGACCCCAAAGCTTTGCAGACTTCAGGGAAAGGCTTGTTGGTGGGGAAGGTGGAAAGAACTGGAGGCTTTGAATCAGGAAAATCAGGGTTGGAGTTTGGCTCTAGAGGAGAATGAAAGCTGAAAGCAGATGTGAATAGAGATCTTAGGGTAGGGTAGGGTGGTTCCAAGTTGGGGATCTTTGCAGTTTAGGGGTGGGGGTTGGGTTGAAGGCTAGCTGAGAGCCCAGGGAGATAATGCTCTTCTCTTCTCTTTTCAGCAGTGATCCAGATGCCCCCAGACTACTACCTTCCCCTGTCACCCATGCACTTAAGGAGGGAGAGACACCCCCACCCCCAGAAGCTCCCCTCAATCCTCTTGCTGTACTGTCCTCATCAACATCATCATTGGGTTCTGGAGCTCTTCTGCCTATGGAAGTTGGGGTACAGCCAGAAATCAGAGGGACCCCTCAAGCAGCCCAGCAGACTGAGCCCTTGGCCAGGTAACCTGATGGCTGAGACAGAGGGCAGGGGCATCCTGGGACGTGGCCCTCCCTCGAGGCCCTTTGCTCCCTCTTTGCTGCTCGTAGCCCTGAGAGTCAGGCCCAGTCTGCTCTGACCTTGGCCTGGGAGGAGGACACGGCACAGATTGGCCCCAAGAGAATTAGGTAGGACTGGGGAGTGGGGGGGAGGGAGTCTTTGGGGACGGGACTGAGAGGAGGGGGCTGAGGAGAGCCTGTGGGAATCCTTAAGCTCTCCCATCGTCCTTCCCCAGGAAAGCTGCCAAAAGAGAGCTGCTGCCTTGTGACTTTCCTGGCTGTGGAAGGATCTTCTCCAACCGGCAGTACCTGAATGTGAGGACATGAGGGACACACATTGGGCCCTTTGTGATCTCAGAGGTGTATGAGGACGGCTTAAGGAGATGCTGAGGTGAAGGAGAAGCTGAAGCAAAGAAGCTTGGAGTGTGGGTAGATTTGGAGATAGGAAAAGTGTTAGGGTGGACCACCTACAGTTAATAATCCCTCAACCAGAAACTGGTAGGTAAAAGCAGAAAACCAAGCCTCAAGCACATAGCTGCTGCCCACCACTGCTGGTTGCATGGGTCCTCCAGGCATCAAGGAGAAGGCAGATAACCATGGCATTCCTCAGGCTCTTGAAATGCTAGCAACTGTTCTAAGCACTTGCTGTGGGTCAAGTCTTTTGATCCCTAGGGAGTAGGTAGGTACTGATCCTGTTCCTTCTGCAGAATGGCACACAAAGGCTAAGTAATGGCCCAGGCTCCTCAGTCAGTGTGTGGTAGTGCTGGGGCTCCTGAGTCCACACTCAGCTGCTTGGCGCTGCTGACTGGGGTGGGTGGTTCTAGTGTTGGGGGTTGGTAGGTGCAGCCTAACTGCCAGCGAGATTTGAGGCACATAGAGGGGGGGCCTACAGCCCCCACCCTATCCAGAGCCCTCCCCAACCATGTACTACAGTTGAGGGAGAGCCCAGACCAGAGGGATGGTGACACGAGGATAGATGGGATTTGGGAGAGGGAATGGGCACGTGCCCAGTGGCAGGAAAGCTCTGGGATGAGAAGTTTAGCAAGGCTAGTCAAACACATTGGAGCCTGTTAATAAAGAAGACTGCAGCAGCCTCGAGCAGTGGTTTAACTATAGGAAACTGGGACTATAGAAAAGGGGAAAGCCCATGCAGTTTACTGAGCCAGGATGTAAAGTTAGGTTGGACAGGGAATTATTTCCCAGACATACTCATGGAGTTAAGTACAGACTACCTCTACAAGTGTTCCAGGTTGAAAGCATGCCCATGTGTGTGTTTCCAAAGCAGATTTAGGAAAACATCATAGAAGACATGCCAACAATGAGCTATTGATAAAGTAGGCAATCTGGGCAGTACTGCTGTTCATTGATGTTGTTGTTACTATTATTATTATTATTATTATTACTACTACTACTATTATTTAAGGTAATTTATTCATGAGAGACACAGAGAGAGAGGCAGAGACACAGGAGAGGAAGCAGGTGCCCTGCGGGGTGCTCCATGTGGAACTTGATCCCAGAACCCCAGAATCACGACCTGAGCCGAAGGCAGACACTCAACCATTGAGCCACCCAGGCATCCCTGTACATTGATGTTAAAGAGGATAGCCATACCTTCCCCAAATTGTGTTCTCATCCCAGCAGACAGCAGCTCCATGGTTAGGGAACCAAGACAATCACCAGAATGGCACTTGGTTCAAGGGCTGGGCATTGCTAAGGAAGGTTGTGGCAAAAATGTGAGATAATGCAAGTCCAGGACAGAAGAGGATGAGGGCACAGTTTGGTGTCAGGATGGGATGGGTGCTGGCATTCAGAGGAGGACTGGCCAGGATGATGTGAGCTGGTGGTGCTAGAACTGTTGGTAGAGGGGGGACAGAGAAGCCTGCCTGCTGGACCAGGTCTGGCGGTCTCCCTGAGACCACCTGTTTCCTTTCCCAGCACCACAAGAAGTACCAGCACATCCATCAAAAGTCCTTTTCCTGCCCAGAGCCAGCCTGTGGGAAGTCCTTCAACTTTAAGAAACACCTAAAGGAACATGTTAAACTGCATAGTGGTGAGTGGTGGAAATGCCTCCTCATTTCCCTCCTGTGGGTCCTGTCACCTCCCCTGTGCATCCCTTCACCTCCCCTTTGGGTCCCATTACCTCCCCCCGAGGGGCCCTTCACCTCTCCCAAGGGTCCCTTCATCTCCCCTGTGGGGCACGTCATCTCCTCCTGAGGGGTCCATCACCCCCCCTGAGGAGCCCATCACCTCCCCTGTGGGGCCCATCACTTCCCCTGAGGGTCCCTTCATCTCCCCTGTGGGACCCATCACCTCCTATCTGCAGGTCCCATCATACCCCTCTGTGGAATGACTCTCACACTCGTTCTCTGTGTGTTGAGCACCTGCCTGCTTGAGACTGTTCTAGGTGCTGGGATACAAAAGTGAACGAAGAGGGCAATCCTTAGGATGCCCACTCTAGTGATAACAGGGGAACAAAGAGATCTGAAAGCTCAGAAGGAGAGGAGAACGTGAGGGAGGAGTCTCTCTTGTAGAAAGGGAAGGTGCTTTGAGCAAAGACTGAAGTGAAGGGAGGAATGGAGGCTTGTCCATGTCTGTGGGCAGCACTGGGAAGGCCTTCACCTGGCATCTGCCTGGCATGTTCCAAGAATGGAGAGGAGGCCAGGAAGTTGGAGAGGAAGGAAAAGAGATCAGATAGGTGGTTGGGGCCTCTTCGACTACCATCAGCATGGCTTGACTTCTGGCCGGATGAGCTGGGCAGCTCAGGGACAGAACTGCCTTTACAAGGAGCAGAGTGACTGCCATGTGGACAAATGGGACTGTAGGAATGTGCTGTGATAGCCTTGACGTGCTGGTACAGTTGAGTTGGTGAGAAGTGGCTGGAGGCTGCTGTGAGGACAGAGTGGCCACAGGTGGGTGGGCAGGAGGGCGTCTGGGCTGACTTGAAGGATTCCAGCCTCGGCAACTGGGCAGAGGTGATGTGATTTCCTGAAGGTGAGGGAAAGGCAGGCTTTGGGAAGGTGACATTTTATTTATTCACGTTACAGAAGATGTGAATCTGGAGTTCAGAGATGTTGAGGAAGAAAAAACTGTTCTTCACAAGCATGCAGTGGTATTTGGAGCTGCGGGTGGAATGTACCCACGTGGCATGAGTGTAGGTAGAGAAGCATTCTGCGGCTCCTGGGGTGGGGGGTAGTGCCGGTGCTACAGGACTGAGTACAATGAGGACAGGCCACTGGATGGGGCGGTGGGAAAGCCACCTTGGACTAGACGACAAGGTGGCGGGCGACAAGGGAGGACAGCCAGAATGGAATGAGCTAAAGAAGTAGAGATACAGAGGATGGGCCACTCTCTGGGGTGTTGTGACGACAGGTAGAGAAATGGGAGCTTAGCTGGAAGGCTGTGAGCTTGGGGGTACAAAGATGGGAATGACCCCCCCCCCCCCGAGAAAAGGCTTACTGATGTCTAGGTGGCATGGGGAACCTCTGGTCAGGGAGAAGCAGAGTTGTGCAGCAGAGCAAGGAGCGTTCACATATATGGCACAGAGGTTGACTGATGGATCAGGTTGGGGGAAGATATGGTTATTCTCTCTTGGCTTCTCTCTTCTTGCTGACTTGAAAAATGAGATCACTGCTGAATGAGCTAGCACAGAGAAGACTCCTCTAAGAGTGGGAGAGGGAACCGACCAAGAAAGTGCAGAGGCATATTGTTGGGGATGAAAAGGAGAGGCTGGGGGCTGGGCAAACAGATGGTGGGCTATGTTTCTGCTCCCCTTAGCACACCTGTGCATTCCTAGAGCGGGCCAAGAGTTGTGTTAATCCTGAGTGGGATTTTAACCAAACAGGTCCAATTGTCCAGGGAGAGAGTGGTCAGTGATTTCATAGTGTGAGTGAAGGCAGGCTACAAAGACACCCTGGAAAGGGATCTGGGTGAGGAGGGTGGAGGGGCACAGGGGTGGGTGGTGGGCTGCTGGACTGGCAGCAGGAAGTCACAGGAAGTCCAGTGATGGGACGTGACCTGGGAGCGGTGGCTGAGAAGGATGGGAGCCAGGAACAGAAATGTGGAGTGCTGGACGTGTAGAAAACAAAGCAGTAGCACAAGTAACGGGGGAGGAGAGGGCCTGGAGCCAGAGATTTGTGGAGTGTGCTGGAGAAACGGGGAAGAAGGCTGCAGGTGGACACGTGTGGTGTGACAGTGGGGGATCCAAGTGGTGGTGAGGCAGAGGTCTAAAGGATGCCACAAGAAGCAGGGATATTCCTGTGGAGCCTGCCCTGAGACCTGGGGAGAAAAACCACAGGCCTGTGAGAGCTGCTGGAGAAGCGCAAAGGGCAGGTGCTTAGTGCTGGTAGGGAAAAAGGAGCAGGATGGCAGCTGACAGCCACAGGGCGCTGTCTGGCTGGGAGGATAAGCAGGTTGCTTGGGGGCAGTCGTCCTGTAAGGGTTGGCAGGTGGGCTGGGTTGAGGAAGGGCCGTGGCTTGGGGATGGATGCTGGGGTGACCCCTGTGAACCCGCAGACACCCGGGACTACATCTGTGAGTTCTGTGCCCGGTCTTTCCGCACCAGCAGCAACCTCGTCATCCACCGGCGCATCCACACTGGAGAGAAACCCCTGCAGTGAGTGTGGGGGAGTTTGGGTGGGAAGGTAGGGCTGCCAGGGGTGCCAGCAAGACACTGGGAAGCTAAAGGCAGGAAGAACCCTTGGGGAAGTCAAGATGGGCTGAAGCCCTGTTCTTTCCTCCACTGTCCCTGGCTCAGGTGTGAGATCTGCGGGTTCACCTGCCGCCAGAAGGCCTCCCTGAACTGGCACCGGCGCAAGCATGCAGAGACCGCCGCCACTCTGCGCTTCCCCTGTGAGTTCTGCGGCAAGCGATTCGAGAAGCCGGACAGCGTTGCAGCTCACTGTAGCAAAAGCCATCCAGCCTTGTTACCAGCCCTACAAGAGTCACCTGGCCCACTGGAGCCCTGTCCCAGCATCTCTGCCTCTGTGACCCCGAGGTCTGGTGACGAGTCCAGGCCTTCGGGTTCCTCAGACTCTGACTGTACTCCCTCAGCAGTCAGCATCCCTGGGCTCTGAGGAGCCAGACCCCAGGGACTGGAGAGAAGTGCCAGGGAGTGCAGGGTGGGGGCAGAGAAACCAGCCAGGCTACGTTAGTCTTCCTAAAGGACAGAATAAACCCTTATTTTACATGGACACGTGTGGGCAGAGTATTTTGGCACCTGCAACGCAGGAATCCTGATTCCTTTAGAAGCAGGCTGCTAGAATACGCCTAAGTGCACCATTGGTTGGGCCCTGTTCCTCTCTGCAGGCCCCTACCTCAAGGAGCCAGCTGTCTTTCCCAGTTTGCTTTGGCATTTTGCAGTTCTTTTCTGTGGGGTATCATCATACATACCCATTCTTGCACTCAAGCAGGGCAGGCTGGGACACTAGAGAGGAATGAAGGTATGTGAGCAGGAATGGAGGTATGTGAGCCTAAGCCATATTCGTACACTGCGTTATCCGGGAGAACCAAATGTGTATGCCTGAGGAATCTTGACTTTGCACGCAAAATCAAGGGGGCTGTACGTGCAAGATCACTGAGCTACCTTGAATACCTTAGGATCACTCCTAAGTCTGCCAAGACAGCGGCCTCAGCTTTGATAAAGGAGGATCTTGGCATCTGGAACCCAAACAATCTTTATTTCTCCAGCCATAAGCAAAAAAAAAAAAAAAAAAAATCGCTGGCCAATTCAGATTTTCTGCACTGTTGGCTCCATGTAGCTCAGTTCCCCATGGCTCCAAGTTTGATTTGGAAATCCCACTCTGAAGCTCCACTTGGCAATACTCTGCTCAGTTCAGTTCCCAAAGTTAATGTCCCTAGCTGCAGAATATTGCCCGGAGAGGCACTCTGATCTGGACACCGTGATCATGTCTGACCCATGGGGCAGGTGGGTGCTTTGCTGAGGGCTCCTGTCCACTGTCATGGTAGGTAGGCTTTCTCCCACAGGCCGCATACTTCTGGCATGAGATCTTTCACTGAAATGAGCGATCCCATCATCTGCCTACAAATCCCATCCCTCAGAGCCCAGGGAGAAAGTGGCAGAGAGACTGTCAAGTAGAACCAAGAGGCAAGATGACCACAAGGTGGGTGGGCTGTCGCTGTAGCCACATCTGTGGTCACTACCTGAAGAGGTGGGACGACAAAAGTCCCCAGGAAGAAGAGCGAGAGGAGGCCCAGGCTGGAAAAAGGGGCTGGGACAAGAGAAGATCCAGCACAGGTGGGAAGAGAGGAAAGAAACATCTGAGGGCACAGTGGCGGCAGCCGGCTTCTACGGGCCCTGGCTCTCTTCCGAGGCTCCCTGCAACCACAACTGGGGGGCGGAGGGGGGGAGCTGGCAAGGCAAAGAGCGGGGGGGACTGTGGCAGGGTTACCAGCGGGGGCGTGGGAAGGCCGCGGGCAGCCACGGTGACCTCGCGCGGACCTCCGCCTGCCGGGTGCCCCACTGTCGCTGTGCCAGCGCTTCAGTCCCTGCCCAGCCGCCTCCCAAGACGCTTCTCAGCAGGTGTCCCTCAACTAGGACACCAGAGGCCAGGCTTTTCCTGCTCTGCCTGCCTGGCGAAGAGGACTGCGGCTGCTGCGGTGGCTTGGGTGGCAGCGCCGGCGGCTCGAGCCCGGGCGTGGGCCCGCTGGTGCTGGGACAGCGAACGGCTGTGGCTGAAACACTTGCCACACTCGGCGCACTCGGCCGGCCGCTCGCCCAGGTGGGTCTTGCGGTGCAGTGCCAGCTTGGAGCCCACGCTGAAGGCCTTGCCGCACTCGGGGCACTCGTGGGGCTTGCGGCCGGCGTGGTTGCGCCGGTGCACGTTGAGGTTGGACACGCATGTGAAGCGTCTGCCGCACAGCTCACAGCGGTAGGGCCTCTCGCCCGTGTGCGTGCGCCCGTGCTTGGTGAGGTCGGAGCGGTCGCTGAAGCGGCGGCCGCACTCGGCGCACGGGAAGGGCCTCTCGCCCGTGTGGATGCGCTGGTGCACCGCGAGGTCGGAGCGCTGCCCGAAGCCCTTGCCGCACGTGGGGCACGCGTGCGGCCGCTCTCCCCGGTGGCTGCGCTGGTGGCGCACCAGGGTGGAGCTTTCGCTGAAGCGGCGGCCGCAGTCCCCGCACGCGAACGGCTTCTCCCCCGTGTGCGTCCGCTGGTGGCGCACCAGCGTGGCGCTCTCCTGGAAGCCCTTTCCGCACTCGGGGCACGCGAAGGGCCTCTCCCCCGAGTGCGTGTGCAGGTGCCGCGCCAGTATGGAGCTCTTGCCGAAGCTCTTCCCGCACACACCGCACTGGTGCGTGGCCGGCGCGGGCGGCGGCCCTGCGGACTCGCGGGCGTGGCTCCGTGGCCCCGTGTGGCTGCCGAAGGCCCGTGGGCCCTGCGCGCCGCGGAGGGGCGGGGGGCCGGGCACGGCGGGCAGGGCCCACGGGTGCGCCCGCGCCTGGTGGGAGCGCAGCGCGCTCTGCCGGAAGGCGCGGGCGCACAGGGGACAGCGGCGCGGCCGCTCGGGGGGGTGCCGGCGGCGCCGGTGCAGCAGCAGAGCCGGGTGGTGTGGGAAGCGGCGGCCGCAGGCGCGGCAAGCGCGGGAGCTGCGCCGCCGGTGCGCGCCCTGGTGCAGGTCGAGGCGGCCGCTGTGGCGGAAGCTCTGGCCGCACTCGCCGCAGATGTAGAGTGTCTGGCCCGCGTGGGCGCGCCCGTGGACGCGCAGGTCGGCCGCCGAGGCACAGCGCTCGCCGCAGTCGAGGCAGCGGTAGCCGCCGTCGCCGCCGTGGGCGCGCTCGTGGCGCAGCAACACCGAGCTGTAGCGGAAACTCTTGCCGCACTCACTGCACCCGTAGGGCCTTCCTGCCGCCGCCGCCGCCGCCCCTGATCCCGCGAGCATGGCGAGCATGGCGAGGGCTCGGCCGGGGCGCCCTCGGGATGCAGGCCGGGGCCAGGCTGGCCGGGAAAGGTGCCTCTCCCACTCCGGGGTCCACCTCCTCCGACTGCGTGTTACTCGGTTTTCTGAAAGCCTGCAAAGGGGGTGGCAGAGGGAGGAACGGGAGGCCTGGGAAGCTGGCTGGCAGACACCAGGTTCCTTCTCCTGTGGGCAGGCTCTGCAGCTTTTTCTCGGGTGGGCTGCAGCCAGCTTCACCCTTCACTCAGAGCCCTACAGGGAGAAAGTCGCTGTCAGCCACAGTAACAGCTGCAACAGCTACACCTTGGGGAATGGAGAGGCAAGCCCAGGGTCCCTGTCTCTTGTAACTTCCTCGGCCAGGCCGTCTCCCGGATTGCATTCTCCGAGAGGAGACAAAGCCATAGGACTCCTAGAATATGGGGAGGGGGGCCCTCATGCAAGGAAGGGCAGGAGGGATTCAGAGAGGGAGGGAGGGGATGAGGAATAGCCAGCCTGTTTTGTGTCAGTAGATCGGAGGTCTCGGCCTGGAGATGCACTAGGAAACACCAACGGGGGAGGGGCAATGAGAAGGCCCCTGGGCCTACATGGCAGCAACACCTTCCTCTGTGACTCTGGTTTCCTAAGTCCCCAGTGTGAACCCAGCCAGGGCTGGGCTGGAAGGACAAGGGGGGTACCTGTGCAGAAGCAGCAGTCTGGGCAAAAGTCTCAGAGAGGACTGGGGCCCGGGTAAGGGATGGTTATCTGAGAAACCCCAAAGTACTGCACCTTTGCTTTGGACAGCACCTGATAAATAAGCACCCCACGTCAAAGTTCCCTGGCTTTGCCTTGAGAAAGCAACTCAGGACTCAGAAAAGAGGTAGAAAGGAACATGAATCATCCACAAAGAACAATATTGAAAGTTAATGGCATTATACTAGGAGTGCTTTTCCCATCTTCAGGAAACATGGGGAGAAGAAAGGAGCATTCCTTCCTAATTCTCAGGTCATCCCAGTTGTTTGTAAACATTCTCCAGTCTTTTTTCACTGCCCTAGCTCCAGCAATCGGAGAATCCAGACTAGCAGAGAAGCTCCATTATGGAGACGGACTCTGATCTGCTGCCCTGTTTATCTCTGATGTTATCCCTATATCTTTCTGACAGGTTGGTCCAGGTAGCTGTCTGGGGGCAGGCTCAGCCTTTCTGTACAGAACCTCCCGCAGGCCCCATCACTGACTGTTCTCCTCAGAGGCCCATAGGTTGGTCCCAGCTAAATTCAGTGAAGATTAGGTATAGCTTCTATAATATATATATATAGGCTGTGTCACTCAACAGGTCAGGGAGAGGAAGCAAACAAAATGGTGAGCATTTTCTTATTGCCAGATAGAAACACCCTAAATACTCAGCTCTGCTTAAAACACCCCATAAATGGGATCCATTGAAAAAAGCCTTGAAAGCCACAAACCTCAGCTCTGCAGTTTCTGCTCCCTCCACGATGGGCAGGAGTGGCCACTACAGGATGTTCTCTTCTCATTCCTTTGTAACAGGATATTCTGTACACTGCAGGGATGAAGTAAGAGGGACAACATGAATTTACATTGAGCAAAGGGGACAGAGGCAGGGAGAGATAGAAGAGGGGAGTATTTCCTGGAGGGAAAAGGGTATTGCCTTAAAGGACATTTTCAAATATAAAAAACTAAAGAATATCATGAATCACCCCCTCACCTAAGCATCTACCTACATTTTGTTATTGTTTCATCTGTCACACTCCTCCTCTCCCACTCTCTCTCTCTCTATTTTTTTTTTTTTTTTGGTCTGCAGTGTTTTAAATCCTAGACACCTTATTCACAGATACGATTAAGCAAAAGCTACAAGCAGGGCAACGAGTCCCTCTGCAGACCCAAAAGCAGTCTTTAAAGGGAGCCCATCCTTCCAGAGGGAACTTTCGGCCCAGACACTTGGGCTGTCGATTCTAGGCTGTCAGTTCAAAAGAGTGGTTGCCCTCATGTGAATAAAACCTTCCCTCAGGACTCAAGTGTTTGATCCAAATGCTAAAGAGAGCAATGTGCATACTAGTGAGGGCTCCACATCACTTGGGGGTCTTCAGGGACCATGGAGACCTCTCAGGCCAAGTTTCTGGGAACCCACCCTCTGTCTCCCAGGGCACATGCCCAAGGAAGGTAAGACAAATACACAAACAGAAACATGCCTACAAAAATGGCATTTACACAAAGATACAATTTCCCCCCATTACAAATGTTAGGGAAGACAGACCCTGATCTAGGGGCAGATTTGGTAACTGAGTGCCAGAGTACAGCCCTTAGGTCTCTCTTGTGTACCTCACTCCATGATGTAGTTTGCCCTGGAAGCAAAAGGGTCTGTGAATGGGAGGAAATCTGAAAGAAAAAAGAAATATATATATATATATATATATATATATATATATATATATATATATATTATGGTACAAAAAAATTCTAGACTATCCTAGACACTTTCCCAACTGAGAGTCTTCAAGTTGTTATATATTCATTTTAAGTAAAAAAGTAAGTGCAGAAGGAAACAAGAATAAGTACCAGGGCTTGGAAAGAGGGAAGAAGGTAATTATGAGTGAGTTGGCAAAAAGTCCTAATAGTTCAATACTTTAAAATATTTTAGAAAAAATAAAATATTTTAGTACTTTTCAAGCATTTAATACTTACAAATATTTGCAAATATTATATGTGTAATTAATAAACAGGTACTAAGATAAGCTAATGAAAAAATTAACATTCACAATTGATTAAAAATAAACTTCTGAATTTTATATATCACTTTATTTTTTTTGTTTATTTCTTAATAGATGTTGCAGGTATTTCATGCCATATCTAACATATTACAGATTAGAGATGTATGATAATTCATCCGGATTTAGTACATTAACTAACAATCTACTATGAGAACATCTTAGTTCTTTTCCTTCTGAGTTGTATCCTTCGGTTAGTACAAAGATTTTCTTCTCTGATTATCTGTTCTGCTGGGCCAATATTTCTGGGGCAGGATGAAGAGACAAGCGATCCTCCTTCTTGAAGCCAGAGCTGGGTAAAACTGGTACAGGAGTGGGGCTGAGGGCTGTCCCAGCTGTACTGTCCACTACAGAAGCCATGAGCCATATGTGACTGAGCGCTTGAAATGTGGCTGGTCCAAATTGAGATGTGCTGTAAGGATTACATACATTCCTGATTCCAAAGATTTAGTATTAATAAAGAATGCAAACTACCTCGTGAATATTGTTTAATGTTGTATGTTGAAATGATAATATTTTGGATATATTGGGTTAAATGAAATGTATTAGTAAAATTAACTGCCTACTTTGGGACTGTTCCATGTCTAGTTCCACTTGTAAAGCCCCTTTCTCTCTTTATCTAGGGCTCTGCTACAGTCACCCCTCCTCACAGAAGCTCTGCTGAGCAACTCCATAACCCACAGCCCCATCCCCTTACTTTGCCTTTATTCTGAATAATCAATGAAAGTAACAAGAAAGTGATTCTCATACATTCTAGGAAGGTTTCAGCCCCTTTTCTAGGTAGGGAGGATGGAATCTAGAGTACCAGAATGGCTACTCCTTGCTTTCTTTTCTTCCATAACAGAAACAAGGTCCAGTACTTCAAAAGAAGTTGCCCCTTTCAGCTTCAGATTCAGTCTGACAAGTTTTCGGAAGTGCTGCTTCCCATCCCAAGTGCCCAAGCCTGATCATGATCCAAATACACTCTTCTGGAAGTTTTGCCTTCACAGAGCTTTTCCTGTGCACTGGAAAGTGTGAAGAAGATAGGGATGTCGGCAGGGATAGAACATATATAGTAGGATAGTCTATTCCCTAGGTTCCTTTGACACTTGCCCAAAACTGCAACCCACAGAGGGCAAAGCATCGCAGGACTGGGATGTGGGAAGGCGTTTTACACCTTTTCTGGGCCTAGCAAGAAGTTGGGCACATGGATGGCACTCAGTGCTTTTAAAAAATACGTTAATTTGGAAATAATTCTTTCAAAAGTTAGGTTACAGGAGGAGGAGGCCTCTCTCCAGTCATCGTATCCTCCCTAGCCCTATCTGATACTGCACATACCGCAAGTAGTCTGCTTTGGTTTACTGAAATGGAACTGCCAACATCCACGAAAGAACCACAGAGGCAGTTCCTCCTTACTAGCTGTGTGACCTTGGACAGGGGACTTCAGGTGCCTGGGAAAACTCAGTAAAGGAAGCTATCCTAAAAAAAATAAAAATAAAAAAAAAATAAAAAAATAAAAAAAAGGAAGCTATCCTAACGTTTCATATGGAAATAAGGTTTAGGAGCGCCTGGGCGCCTCAGTCGTTAAGCCTCTGCTTTCTGCTCAGGTCATGATCCCAGGGTCCTGGGATGGAGCCCCGCATCCGGCTCCCTGTTCAGCGGGGAGGCTGCACCTCCCCTGCTTGTGCGCTATCGCCCCAGCGCTGTCTGTGTCAAATAAAATCTGAAAGAAAGAAAAGAAAAGAAAAGAAAAGAAAAGAAAAGAAAAGAAAAGAAAAGAAAGAAAGAAAGAAGAAAGGAAGGAAGGAAGGAAAAGAAAAGAAGGTTAAAATAGCAGTTTTTAGGTTTTGCCCTGCTCAAGACAGTTCCTCTGAGGAGGGACCCTGAATAGGGGGTTCTGACTCCTACCCCCTCCACCCCCCCCCAAGGATTCTAAACGTTCTGCAAGAGTTTTGAAGTCCTTCCCCGACCCCCAAGGAACCCTTCTCCGCACGGTTGGAGAGCGTGGGCATTCCGTAGCCGCAGGCCACACTCCGGGAGCTGTCGGAGCCAGCGTGGAAGCTGATTACTCAGTTTCAGGCTAGTCGGTGGGGACTTAACCCGCAACTGCACAAAGCGGTTCACCGAAGGAGGAACGCCGCACCTGGGTAGGTCGCGGCGCAGCCAATCCCGGGCGCCTCAGTCTACTTTCGTCACGAGTTGCTAGGCAGGTTCTCCTTGGGCGAAACTTGCAGCCCGGGGTCCTGCCGCAGCTCCTCGGCCCTGGCGCCGGCCTACCCTGGGGTCTGGACAGGGCAGCAAAAACGTAGCGAGGAGCGGGGGCGCCGACGGAGCCAGGTGCTGACACTGCCCTCCGGATCCGCCTCGGCCTGGCCAGGTCCGCGTCGCGGGGCCGCCGGCCCCGAAGGTCACCGGGAGAGGCCGGCAAGGCCCGGCGGCCGCGGCCGCAGCAGACCAATCGCGCGTGCCGCACAGCCGCCGTCACTCGTTGCCGGGGCCGCGCTCCCGACAGCGGCAGACGCCAGCCGCCGGTAGCGAGGGGAGACGACGACAGGTGGGGGTCTCCGCCCCGCGCCAACCCTGCCCCCCCAGCCCCTTGGTCCCCTCACCGGTCGCCGACTGGCTCCTTGTACACCGCGCAGCCCCCACTCAGCCGGTTCGCCGCCCCCGCCTCCCGGATCGCGGGACTGGGGCGTCGGAGGAAGGGGCAGGCGGAGCGCGCGGCCGCCGAGTGGGGCAGCTGGGAGGCGCCTCGGGATAGGGAGTCACGCTCCAGTCCCGCGTCCCCGGCTGACCAGTCGTCGGCCTCCTGCGGGCGGCGTCACCGGTTGCTGGGACGTCTATCTGGAAGGCCTCAGAGCCGCCAGCCCCGGGCGGAATCCCAGCGAGGGGACGGGCTAGCCCTGGGAGCCAAGCTCCGCCTCCCTCCCCGACAAGGCTCCGCCTTCTTCCCACGCTTAGCCAATCTCTGCCTTCCCTTCCGTCCGCCCGCCCCCCGGGCTGCTCCCGTCCAATCAGAGGAAGGGGCGCGCAGTGTGGGTCGGCAGGCGAGGAGTGCGGGTGTCCCGGCTGCTCTTGCAGCTGCTCGCCCCCCGGGTCCTCGCTCCTGCTGCCCCCCTCCACCCTGGGTATCGGGTTCCCGGCGTGGAGTAGCCGCGGGGTCCGCCCGACCAAATCGTCCCAGTGTAAGTTAGTGACTTTTCGTACCTCGAGGCCACACTCGGCACCCATTATCGCGCTTAATGCTCGCCACAGCCCTGCCAAGGAGGCTCCCACCAATTAATGACCCACCCAGGGGCGCACTGCCAGAGTGGAGGAGGGGAGGTCCTGCGCTGCTTTGCAGCCGCCTCTTCAACAACTGCTCGGCAGAGCTCCCCGTCCAAATGTCGAGGCTTCAGTGTCTTCCACTGCGAGATGCAAGTGCTGAGTGCTGCTTTCCGGAGATACGGTTGGTACCCTACTGATCATCTGGAACAGACTCCTCAGGATGGCTCTCGGGATCATTCTTCACCTGCTCTAATCTTCGTTCCGAAGACACTTAGCACTGCCATGCTGCTACCTATCGAGAGCTTCTGTCCCTCTGCTCAGGAGTCCCCTAAATCACCGTCCATTCAAACTCCTCACGTCCTACCCCGTGACTCAGCATGGAATGCTCCTCTGCTTTCAACTCTAACTTAAAAAAAAAAAAAAAAAGTTTAGTCAGGTGCCATTTCCACCAATCTATGCTGGAATGCAGCTTTCCACCCTCACTGTGGAACTCTCTACACGTGGTGCAGTCAGAGGATGACTGTCACCTCTGCAGTTAAAGGACAGGCCTTGTCTTACTCATAAGCAATGCCTGAAAGCCTGAGCACCACACATCACAGGTGCTCAATGAGTGTTTGCTGGTCCACCTGTGAATATGATGTAAGGAGTTCAGGGGTGGCAGCAGCAGGCAAGGAACCAAAAAGCCGACCCAGGATGCAGGCCTGGGGTGATGATGGCCTGAACCAGGAAGGGATGGATTTGGAGATGTAGAAAAAGAAAACATGCTTGTAAAGTTCCATATGCAGATAAGGTAATGCTATGCAGGATCATTCTAAAGCCCTTCAGGCCTGAAGAATGGATTAATTAGGACATCTCTGGATTCACTGTTCAGCATTGATATGTGACTTATAGGCCAATTCCAGAGGAGTGACTAGGATACTGATAAATACATTATATAATTGAAAGGGCTGGGGAAACATGTTCATGATGACTGTACACAAAATTTGACAGACTGTCATGTGAAAGAGGTCTGGATTAGACAACTTTTTTTCTTTAAGATTTTATTTGAGAGAGAGCATGAGCATGAGTGTGGGGGAGGGGCAGAAGGAGAGGGAGAAGTAGACTCCCTAAGTGGGGCTCCTATGTGGAGGCTCCATCCCAGGACCCTAGGATCATGTCCTAAGCTGAAGGCACTTAACTGACTGAGCCACCCAGATGCCCCGACAACTTTTTTTTTTTAAGATTTTATTTATTTATGAGAGAGAGAGAGAGACAGAGAGAGAGGCACAGAGACACAGGCAGAGGGAGAAGCAGGCTCCATGCAGGGAGCCCAATGTGGGACTCGATCCCAGGACTCCAGGATCACGCCCTGGGCTGAAGGCAGGCGCTAAACTGCTGAGCTACACAGGATCCCAACTTTTTTTTAAAACAACTTTCTTTTGTGTAGCTATGGAGGAAAGAACTCAATGGAGAGAAAATGCAGGGAGGTGGATTTTTGTTCCCTGTGGGAGTCATTACAGAGGGGGATAATAATTGGATCATGAATACTGAGTTTAGTGAAATAAAGAAGGTCAAGATGAAGTTATGTGCGTATTTGTCAGTTTGAAAATATTTGATCTAGATGGTTGCCTTTCACTACAAATCTCCATCATTAAATGACAACTCCCAGTATGGTCCTGTAAATATTCAAGATATTTATGGAGGATCTACTATATGCCAGGTCATCTTCCAGTCATTGGGGGATACATCTCTGAAGTGCCAGATGAATCTCCCTAAAGTAAGCTCTGAGTGTGTCATCCTACCACTCAAAAACTGTTAAATTCTATATTAGCCATCAAATGAAGTCTACTCTTCTAGTGTAACGTCAAGATCTTTTTCCTCCTGTTCCAACCTGTCTTTTTAGCCTGTTCTCTTCAAGCCTCCACTAAACAAGATCACTGCTCACCTACCTACATTTCTCTCAGCCTGGAATATACTCTTACTCCTCCACCTTTCTTTATCTGCCAAAGTCCTGCTTATCCTTCACAACTCTGTTTAAATGCCAATCCAGGGATCCCTGGGTGGCGCAGCGGTTTGGCGCCTGCCTTTGGCCCAGGGCGCGATCCTGGGGACCCGGGATCAAATCCCACGTCGGGCTCCCGGTGCATGGAGCCTGCTTCTCCCTCTGCCTATGTCTCTGCGCCTCTCTCTCTCTCTCTCTCTCTCTCTCTCTCTCTGTGACTATCATAAATAAATAAAAATTAAAAAAAAATAAATGCCAATCCACTTCAAAGTGAAAAACATATTTCTGGGGATCCCTGGATGGCTTAGCGGTTTGGCGTCTTCCTTCGGCTCAGGGCGTGATCCTGGAGTCCTGGGGTCGAGTCCCACATCGGGCTCCTTGCATGGAGCCTGCTTCTGCCTTCTGCCTCTCTCTCTCTCTCTCTTTCTGCCTCTCATGAATAAATGAATAAAATCTTAAAGAAAAAAGAAAAACATATTTCCTTTCTGACCACTAGAATTGTTCATCTAGAAATTCTGTAAATATTTATCTGAAAATGTGTTGCCTTTCAGACCACAAGACCTATGAATACCTTCTGTATTTAATATCATTTACCATATACTTCAAAACTGTGTCTGTGTCTCATCTCCCCTACTAAACCGTAAGCTTAAGGGCATTCTTACTGAATGCACTTTTCCAAATGCCTGCTTATATTCAAGGAAGTGAGTTGTTGAGTATTAGAGACAAAACAGAAATGGAGTCTTTGAGGTGTGTTGTGGGAAGACAGACCTCCATAGACTATACCTTCCCACGATATATCAGGTGTAAAGTGGTATAAAGCTAGAACAGGAAGAGTGGGACAATTCTGCTATAGGTCATCAGAAAATTTCATAGATTAAACATGTAGCCAAGATTTTGTATCAGGATGATGATGACAATTATTTCCATGTCCTGGGAGCTTTCTGCCTAGGTAGAGATACTGGGATTTGGTTGGGCAGAGAGATGGGATAAGCACGAAAGTAGTTTCCATACTCTTGCTCTAGACTGAGGACAAAATATTAGTATATGCAGATCAGAATTCTCTGGAGGATGCTGAGTGGGGCAGGACAGGAGTTCTAGAAAATGGAGATGTTGAGAAAGGAAACTCAAAGAAATTTGGCTAATTTGAAGAATCTCTCTCTTCCACACAAGTCTTTTTTTTTTTTTTTTTTTTTTTAAGATTTTACTTACTCCCGGGGCACAGTCCTGGAGACCCGGGATCGAATCCCACGTCAGGCTCCCGGTGCATGAAGCCTGCTTCTCCCTCTGCCTGTGTCTCTGCCTCTCTCTCTCTCTCTCTCTCTCTCTCTCTCTCTCTCTGCGCGCGACTATCATAAATAAAAAAAATAAAAATATTATAAAAAAGATTTTACTTTTTATTCATGAGACAGAGAGAGAGAGAGAGGAAGACACACAGGAAGAGGGAGAAGTAGGCTTCCTGCAGGGAGCCGGATGTGGGACGCGATCCTAAGACCAGGATCATGCCCTGAGCTGAAGGCAGATGCTCAACCGCTGAGCCACCCAGGGATCCCTCCCTTCCATGAATCTTTATTGAGGACACACTGAGTTTCACCTGCCTAGGCAGGTGAAATGTGCCCATAGCATGCCCTTACAGTGTGGTTAGAAGAATCTATGCCACACTCAAGAGTTTAGGCTTCTGTCACTGGGCAGGGGAGGAGCCATGGGGTGTCAGGTTTTGTAAAAACTAGGAAGTTAGGGGATCCCTGGGTGGCTCAGTGGTTTGGCGCCTGCCTTTGGCCCAGGGCACGATCCTGGAGTCCCGGGATAGAGCTCCCGGCATGGAGCCTGCTTCTCCCTCCTCCTGTGTCTCTGCCTCTTTCTCTCTCTCTCTCTCTCTCTCATAAATAAATAAATACATCTTTAAAAAAAAAAAGACTAGGAAGTTAGAGGTGAAAAGGTGAAACTATGAGAGTGGATGACATTTCCCAAAGAGGCTGTGGGTGGGTAAGAAGGGAACTAAAGGTAGAACCCTGGAGCCCTAGCCTCTAAAAGGAGGCAGCTGTAGAAGGGGCAATCAGTAAGGACTTTTAGAAAAGTGACTGCTGGGCAGTCCCAGTGGCTCAGCGGTTTAGCGCTGCCTGCAGCCCGGGGCGTGATCCTAGAGTGATCCTGGAGTCCCGGGATTGAGTCCCGCGTTGGGCTCCCTGCATGGAGCCTGCTTCTCTGTGTCTCTATGAATAAAATCTTAAAAAAACGGGACAATCAAGACAGGGTGAGTTTTTTTTTTTAAGATTTATTTATCTATTTTAGAGGCACACATAGAAGGAAAGAGAGAATCCCAAGCAGACTCTGCCCTGAGCACAGAGCCTGACACGGTGCTTGATCCCAGGACCCCAAGATCAGACCTGAGCTGAAACCAAGGGTCAGACAAAACTGACTGAGCCACCCATGAGCCTCTAGACAGGGTGAGGTTTTGGATCCCATGTGAGAAAACGGTGGTCCATGCCTAATGCTTGCATAAGCCCCATAATGTCATAACAATGTCAGTCCATTGAGTTTGATCAGAGGGCACTCTTAGTGGTTTAAAAGGAGAGATAGGGACAGAAAAGGGGAGTAAAAGCACTGAATATTTATTCATTGTGGGC